GTGGTGGCGCCGTGATGAGAGAGCTCAGCTATTTTTCAACGGAAGATGTCCAAGCTGTCGCCGACTCTGGCGTAAGGACCTGTGTCATAGCGGGTGGCAAGATGGATCAGGTGGACGCAATCAAGGAAATGGGATCTTTATTAAGAGAAAGAGGACAGAAGAAAGGCTTGCAGAACGACGCTTTCGTTGTTCAAAAAGCATACCATCCATGGCATTTGCAGTTCCCGGCATTGTTCGCTGCTGGAGTGGAGGCCTGGGTTCGCGGCACCGAACTGCCACGCGATTTCGTTGTCATATGATCTGTGAGTTAGGAAAACAATATCAATGAGAGTGGAATATCGGATGATCTAAAATCTGCACCTAGAATTATGGTAATTCTGAAACAAAATGAAGACTGTCTTCTCATGATTTCATTTCTTTATCGCTCTAGTTTATGTCAAGAATGGAGCTGGATCAAAACAGCCTCGCCTGCACCCACTAACACTTTTCCTGCAACTACCTTGCCGTAAGTCTTTTCTCCTACGACCTTTCCGTCGTCATCTATCCACTGCCCCGCAATCGTTATATTCTCAGCAATATCAATACCTGGACTTGTGAGTCTCGACACCTTCGCGCCGTCCCAACCCTTGGGGAGGGTTAACGCTGTGTAAGGTCTGGTGGTGGGATCAAAAGTCGAGTTCCACACGTTGAGATTGACCGCAACAAAAGACTCTAGCGACCCCGAATTATATACTGCATAGGCGCCGAAGTTCGTTTCGTTAACAGCAACCTCAGTCTGCTTGTTGCCGCCGGCAAAAACAGCCGCGTTAAATAGATTGCCATAGTATAAGGGCTTGACGTGTGCAGCTGTGCCATTATACTCGATAGGTTGCCAGGCTGAATAACGGTAGCGGGTGCCCATGTGGAAGTGAACGCGAGATACTTTCAACGATGAAACATACATAACATAGTCGACGGACCAGACGGCGGCAGCCATGACGTCTGAGATATTCAAGGCTCCTTGGCAGGAAATTGAGTTGGTTTCTCCCATGACATATTCGATGCCTGAGTCAGCTGTCGCATTTCCCAGATAGTCGTGGTACCACACACGCGATAGCATGTTTGTGCGGTTGAACAAAGCGGTGGCAATTGTAGGGCCAACGCCCGTGTAGTGACAATTTGCACCCATATACTATTGACTGTTCAGCAGCTTGCATTTCAAGACGTAAAGACAACTTACATCATGATCTGCAATGGTCTTAGCCTTGTTCTTATGCATGCCATCTTGCACAGCATTTAGGACATTCCAGTCCGTTCTATTTGCAATATGACGCGGAGCTTCAAAGGCACACCCTTGAAATAGCTGCACGTCCGGTTTCCCGGTCAGATTCTGGCTGATCACAGAAGCATACTGATTCCATTGCGTGACGTAGTCTTGAATCGTCCAATTTACCGAACGTCGCGAACCGCCAGGCCATCCTTTCGAGCACATTAGCGATTGGAAGCCATCATCATCATTCAAATTCGACTTACCATCGACTTCATTCCCAATCTCATAAGCATAAAGAGACTCACCCAACGCCCTATATGCAGCGTTCGCTTCGAGAACACATTGGGCAAGACCGTCGCCCACATTAAAGAGCGATTCGTTCACCGGCTTGAAGAAGTTCAGTCCTGTAATGATTGGCATCGGTCAATCTGACAATCTGTCTGTTTCCATTGTAGTCATGCATACCGTATATGTATCGGGTTCCACGCGGGAGTTGCTGGAATGACTCCATAAAGGCCGGCCCGATGAACGAATGCGATGGCTGGTCAGCATCAGGGGCACTGAAAGGAGCAATGATCGCTTCGCTTTGGTTTGGATAGTATACGGCAGAGTTTTGGGTGCTACCTCCCACTCGTATTATAGGATATGCTCCTGAAACATCGTACAGGTTCTGTACAACTTGTTTGGAGAACACGTTTGGGTGTCTGACATAATCATTTAGCAACTTGATCAGATTAGAAAACATGCCTCTCCGCGAACACACGTGTCATTACCGCCATAATCGGCCATGTATGTGAACTCAATTGAGAATGAATTATAAGCTCCATCGACAATTTGCCTTGCTGGAGCCGGGGACGCTGGTGGAGATAGCGTGACTGTAGAAGTGATGTTAGGCTTGGAGCATGACTTTGCAGTGACAAGAGCGAATGACAAGGCGAATAGCTTGAGGTTTGTAATACGAGACATCTCTGCAATCCTGGTTAACTTTCAGTGGACTTGCTCAGTATAGCTTCTTCCAAGACTTAATCAGCAATGTCTACTGCATGCCAAGCCATCCTTCTTATACCAAGCTCTACATAATCCGGTGAAGTTAGTTTCCAGATGGACAGAGCAAAACCAGTTCTCGCTAGGATTTACGCCGAGCTTGAGGACTCTAAAAGCTGCGCTGAGCTAGATTTACGGAACCAAACCCTTCCTGACGGGCCATTCATTCTTCCATTTGACAAGTTTTGACCATGTATTTTTCATGCGCAATGATGAAATAACCCAATCAGAGTCATTGCGACTGGGCCACCTGCGAAGTGTTGGGATCATCATTTACCTCTTTGATCGATAACTTCATATGCACGAATGTCTTCAAGCTAAGCTTGTGAGCGGCAACGATGAAGTAGGGCACGCGATGAATCTACCCCACACCTTACCCCAGGTCAACACCCCCCGCATGTCGGATGATTGAGAACGGGCCTGTTTCTCTGGGGACCGAGGTGGACAGACCTTCCCAGGTACCCGGGATCTCTCCCCCTGAGAGATCCACCTCCACGGTCCACTGCCTCGATAACAAGTGTCTTCTGGTCAAAATATCCGCACCTATAATAAGAATAGAGATTAAGTATCAAGAGCTTATCTCGCTTCACATCCCTACAAGTTAGCACCCGGTTAACACGAGGAGGACAGTGCCTTGGTCAGAGCAACAACCGCCGAATTCACATCAAAACTTGCAAGGCTAAAACTTCTTTTTATTTTTTTTTTTATTTTTTTAGAAAAAAAAATTGGTTGAAGTGCGCAACCAAAATCTATCAAAACATCCACCGTATTTGTTTATTTCTGCTGCATGCCAAACTGGTCTCGCAATGTCTTGCTTGCTATCGCTCGTCTCAGGTCGAGGGAGGGTATGCTCCCGCAGCGACTTTTTGTCCATGCGTCATATAGATGTATCGGGTCTTGTCAAAATTCACGGAGAATTCCCCCGAATTTCTCACAGGCTGCGATGATCATGACCTCTTGTCCAATATAAACCGCTATTTAGGAATTAGAGACCAACACCTCTTCATCCGAAGCGCTACAGATGGCAGTAATGCCATTCTTGCATGCTTCGTCCATTTCAGATTCGAGCTCTTGAGTATCGTCCAATAGAGCGATACTTATCGAAATGATGTTCACCTTTTGTGACAGGATATATAAGCCGATAATTTGAGTCCTTCTGAAGAGGGCGCTCTCACTTTTGTCAGTTAGCTCAACTGTCACACCTTTCTTGCTGATGGCCCATGTAATGGCACAGCGTGTATAGACACTCTCCCTATCCCTGCACTTGACACTACTTCCTAATCGGGGCATTATAGGGCTTGGCTACGATGGCGTCTGACAAATCCAATACCGACCCCGGATCCACCCACTCGCCCCCGTTCTCTCCATAACACTATATCCCTTTTCAACCGTCGACCGTAATGTAAAAGCATGCCTGGCGAGTCTGGATATCATGGCAAGACTTTGCCAGTCAAGCTTTCAACATGGCCCGCCAATTCCAATTTGTCAATGTGTCGGACCCATCGAAATCCGCTTCCTCTGAGTCTCGCAAATCGACCCACTCACATATCATGCGTCAAGCGCACGCAAGGAAAAGGCGCTTGCAGACGCAGAGATACCAATGTGAATCAGTCGATTGTGGAACGAAGCAGGATCTAACTACTTTCAAGCCGTCTCTCTCAAGCCCTCTTAGCCAGGTTTTTACTAATATCGAGGATCCGTTCTCGTCCCTAGCAAGGCCGCTATCCTCCGTGGAATACTTCCTACTGAATCACTGTATGTTCATGGATGCTGGGTGTGACTACATCCCTGGACCGCAGCCCCTAATTATCACTTGTGTCCCGGGCCCGTCAATTTCTCCCGTTCCAATATTTCTAATTCGATCCCAGATATTCAAGTCGTTATGCCACGTTCTATTGGTCACTGCGGCTTGTTCGACGATCCCGGAGACCACCAGAGGCAGATGCTTCGAGAATGGGTTGGCCTTGCCATTACCGACGATGCGCTCATGGTCGCCGCTATCCTTCTCAGTACATGTCGCTACATTCTGCTTGATCAGCCAGACCACCCAATCTTCACGCGTATAGCTCTGCAGTATAAGCAGATATGCCTCTGTACACTGCGCCAGGAGATTGGTAGGCAGTCATTCCATGTCGAAGCCATGACTGTTGCTAAGGCACTAGCCCTTGCGATAGATGAGGTGAGACGACTCTGAGCGAAGTGCATATGCTGCTTGATGTCCACGAAAAGCCGACTGATGACATGTCTTCAGGTGAACTCTGGAGAACAGGGTATAGCCCGGAAGCATCTGCAAGGCGTATTTACTATGATCAAGTTCAGTGGCGGGCCAAGATTCCTTGGTCTGACAGAGTTACTAGAGCGGATGTATCACAAATTTAACATGTCATTAGGGCTTAGAGATATAGAGGTGGACTTATGATGTGGTAAGGCTTGAGTAGCTGAGCACAAGCTGGTAGCTGTTTGATGAGAATTTGGCTCTGCCATCCCAAAGAATAGAAAATGCCGATTGAGCTTGACTTGATTATCTTATTGGCCCGAATGCCTGCTAGAATCATCGACGCCAAGAAGTATCACTTCCTCATTAGGTGATAGGCCTTGATATCAAGCGTTCTTCTTACGCTAGCTATATCCATTACGAAATCCCTACTTGATGAATTTGCCAGGACTATCCTTTTCGTTTCTTGTACTTATACCATAAATCAGCTTTTAATTTGTCTAATTGAAAAGGAGATTAGGCGAGTGATGAATCGTGAGCAGCAATGCAACCGCCAAAAACAATTATAAAAGGTCATGATCCCAACACCTTTCAGCAGAACAAGAACGCGTTGTACTCAAATACTATTTTGTCTCGCATTTAATTCATTAAGACTCTGCTGTATATACCTTCTTGCAGCATCATGTCCCCTTCGGCTACGACGATACCGACTGGATCTTGGGTCCTTGTGACGGGTGCCACCGGCTTCCTCGCCTCCCATATCACAACCCAACTCCTAGATCGGGGCTTCCGAGTTCGAGGCACCGTTCGAGACGTTGGACAGGCTTCATGGCTCTTCGAAGGTCGTTTCAAGACATACGCAGATAACGGCGCTCTTGAACTTGTGGCTGTACCTGACTTCGGCGCTGACGGCGCTTATGATGAAGCTATCAAGGGCGTTGCGGCTATCTTGCACATCGCCTACGTTACTAAGATCGTACCTGACCCGAATGAGGTAATCACCCCGTCAGTAGCCGGTGTCCGATCTATCATGAACTCGGCCATCCGAGAGTCGTCAGTTAAAGAGGTCGTGTTTACTAGCAGCGCCATGGCAGCCTCCTCTCTTGCCCAGAACATTGACAATGGCACGGTAGAGCGCAACTCCTGGAATGATGCTGTGCTCAGGGCGGCTTGGACCCCGCCTCCTTATGGCTTGTCGCATGCGATCGTCAATTATCCCGCCAGCAAGGTTGCTGCTGAGAAAGAAGTTTGGAGATTCGCCGAGGAGAACGAGCTACCTTTTACGGTCAACGTCGTATCACCCGCTGGGCTGACTGGGGAACCGCTTAACAGGAAGCATATAGAGGGACAAGCGAACTGGGTGTTACACGCCTTTAGAGGTAACAAAGCGGTCATGGACCCTATGCCAGCTTGTAAGAATCCCCCCCAGGTTGCCTTTGACCTAAAGTCTATTTAATGGATCTTCTGATCTGATTTGCTCTAGCTTTCTATGCCGATGTAAAAGATGTGGCTTCAATACACATCGCGGCCATCCTAGACCCTGGGGCCAAGAATGCACGTCTACAGAGTTGGGGTCACAGCGCTCATTGGAACGACGTGCTAGCTATTATGCGCAAACTTCGTCCACAGAAAAAATTCATCGACGACTACCCTAGCCCTTACCACGTCAAAGTATCCGTTGACCAATCTGACTCTATCACGCTTCTGAGAAAGTGGGCCGGTAAGGATGGATGGACCTCTTTGGAGGATAGTATCGCTGAAAATATCAACAATCCGTACTTGATTGACTAAGATGGACATCAAATCCGGGAGGCTAATGATCATTGTCTTTTGATGTGTGCGCTTCCTTTACTAGTTTAAGAGAGTCCTCCGGATGTTGCCAAAGCCCATTTTTGCCGTTTCCAATAGCGACCATCCCCGGCAAGGGTATGTTGATAGCAAGCCCTGGCCGATTGTAGAGCGGTGTCACCATGGGCCCGGTCACGAAGAACGAAATATGTGAGGGCAAGATTTGGGCAGTGAATCATTCATTCTATATACTTTATCCAGTATCTCCTAGAGGCATTACTGATGAGTTGATGTGTATCTCATCGCACTAGCATGATCTCTGCATACTTTCAAGCTCTTCGTGTCTTGACATCGAACCCTGGGTTAAAGTACGGTTTCTCGCCCACCAATACAGACTAAAATACTGCCCAAATCTTACCCTCGCCCATTTCCTTCTTCGTGAGTGGGTTAATGCTGCTGCTGCTCTAACCTATACAGTGGGTATACAGTAGGTGTACGGTAGGTATATGATAGATATGCTTGGTATGTTAAGGAGCCTTAACCTGCTATCTTAATTAAAGTTGCTATAAAGTCAAAAATAGGAACTAAGTCTTATAAATATATAAGGGTTTGTTTCTAGACATTCTAATACTTTAACTGTCTATTTTCTTACCTTTGATTATCTTTTTGTAAGGATGGTGAAGC